GAGAGAGAGAGAGAGAGAGAGAGAGAGACAGAGCATGAGTGGGGGAGGGACAGAGAGAGAGACGGAGACACAGAATCCGAAGCAGGCTCCGGGCTCCGAGCCGTCAGCCCAGAGCCTGACGCGGGGCTCGAACTCAAGAACCGAGAGATCATGACCTGCGCCAAAGTTGGATGCCTAACTGACTGAGCCACCCAGGCGCCCCACGTCATGTGATTTCTGAAACTCAGTCATAAAAATGCCACGCACTTCGGCCTTGTTCACTTGGGACCCAGCTACCATGTTGTGAAGCGGCCCAAATTGGCTCACACGGAGAAACCGCTATGCAGACGATACTCCGCCCAACAGCCCAGCTGAGACTTCAGCTGGCGTCAATAATGAGACATGAATGAAGGAAGATGCCTGCCGAAGATTCTGGAGGCTAGGCATCAGGTCATTCAACTTCACATTCTCCCCAGCGAGGGCCGCAGAAAGCATGGAACAGAGACAAGCCCTCCCCACTGGGCTCCGCCCAAATTCCTGATCTATAACACTCTTTGAGCATAATCAAAACGGCGGTTTGGGGCCGGGTTTGTTAGCAGCGATCACAACTGGAACATTAGCATATCCATATACGTATATGTGGCAGAAAGTTTTCTTTCACCAGAGGATACTTAACCTTACTACATGTGATACAATCTGGTATTTTTATTCTACTCTTTTTTTTTTTTTTTTTTCTATGAAAAATAACCACTCGAGGGGTGCCTGGGTGGCTCAGTCGGCTAAGCGTCCGACTTCAGCTCAGGTCACGATCTCTCGGTCTGTGAGTTCGAGTCCCGCGTCGGGCTCTGGGCTGATGGCTCAGAGCCTGGAGCCTGCTTCCGATTCTGTGTCTCCCTCTCTCTCTGTCCCTCCCCCATTCATGCTCGGTCTCTCTCTGTCTCAAAAATAAATAAACGTTAAAAAAAAATTAAAAAAAAAATAACCACTCTACATTCATGTTCGTGGGAACGTTATTCACAGCAGTCATAAGGTGGAAGCAGCCCAAGGGTACGTCGATGGACTAATGAACAGACCAAACGTGGTAAACACATACTCCGGGATATTATTCAGTCTTAAAAAGGAAGGAAATTCTAACACATGCTACAATGGGGACGTTGTTGAGGACATTAGGCTCCGTAAAATAAACCAGCCACAAAAGGACAAATATAACATGATTCTACTTCTATGAAATCCCTGGAGTTGTCAGATTCATAAGAGACAGAAATAGAATGGTGGGTGCCGGGGCTGGGGGAGGGAGGAATGAGGAGTTAGTATTTAACAGGGACAGTTTCTGTTTTGCAAGATGACCAGTTCCAGGGATGGATGGCGATAAGGGTTGCACAACCATGTGAATATGCTTGGAGACACTGAATAGTACACTTTGTTACTTTTTTAAAGTAATCTCTGCACCCAACACGGAGCTCGAACTCACAACCCAGAGATGAAGAGTTGCATGCTCCACCAACTGAGCTAGCCAGGCCCCCCTAAATAGGACACTTTTTGATGGGGCGCCTGGGAGGCTCAGTCGGTTAAGCATCTGCCTTTGGCTCAGGTCATGATCTCACGGTTCGTGGGTTCGAACCCTGAGTTGAACTCTGGGCTGACAGCTCAGAGCCTGGAGCCTCCTTCAGATTCTGCGTCTCTGTCTCTCTCTCTGCCCCTCCCCCACTGGCGCTCTGTCTCTCTCTCTCTCAAAAAAACCCGAATAAACATTTTTTTAAACATTAAAAAAATAAAGTGATGATTATGGGGTGCGTGGGTGGCTCAGTCGGTTGGGTCCCTGACTTTGGCTCAGGTCGTGATCTCATGGTTCGTGAGATCAAGCCCCACCTCGGGCTCTTGGCCGACCGCATGGAGCCGTCAGCAATCCCGGTTGCTTGGGATCCTCTCTCTCCCGCTCTCTCTGCCCCTCCCTTGCGCACGGTCTCTAAATAAATAAATAAATAAATAAATAAATAAATAAATAAATAAATAAAAATTTAAAGAAGTAAGTAAGTAAATAAAAGATCTGAAGCGATCCAGTCAAATGTTAATATCTGTTGAGTCTGGGTGATGACGCATGTGACTGTACTCATCTGTCCCTGTGAAATAATTTGTTAACACTATAAGTGACAATGCATAAAGCGAGGCTCTAGGATACGTTAGAAACTGACACAAGTTGGGGAAGCAGCTCAGTCAGGGGAGCGGAGGATGGGAGACAGGTGGGCGTAAGACTGCTCACTGCAATTGTTTTTGTTGCTTGTATGTTTGTTTTTTTCACTTGCAAAATATAATAAATCTACAGGAAAGTATGCAAGCCACACATACACAGCTTAAAAAATACTTATAACTCAGGCGTCACTGTAGCCAAGAAAGAACCCTGAATCCAGTCTACCTGGAGAAAAGCAAACAGAACAGGACTGCCCCGCCCAATGACCTGTCACGAAGCGGCCCCCTCCCCTTCCCACCCTGCCACATGACCCACCAGATGCCTACTTGTCCCCGCCAGAGGTATCCCACCAGGACTTCCAGAATGATCGCTGCTGCCTTGCTTTCATCGGTCACCCCTCAAGGTGCGCATCCCTAATGACACCACTGGTTCTCCGCTTTCCACAAAAAGGATGACTTGTGAAAACTTCGCACAACGAAAAACAGCCCCTTGTGAACAGGAATCACGTGGGTCCTGCTTGTTACAAATGATGTCCCTGGGAATCACTCGCGTTGCTGTGGGCGGCTGTAATCTCTGCGCTTGCATTCCTGTGTAGTATTCTGTTGGTTGCAACATCAAAACCTAGGTCTCGGTTCTGCTGTGAATGGACTCAGGCACCCGCTGTTTCCGGTTTGGGATTGATACATACACGGCGCTGTTGCGAGCTAGGGTTCTTCTCCAGGCTTCCTAGTTCACTGCGCAAACTGCGATTCATGTGTGTGATAAAATACACGTAACGTTAAATATACCATTTTAATCATTTTCAAGCGTCGTGTCCAGTGCTATTAAGCACATTGACATTGTTGTGCAACCACTGCCACTCTCCGGCTCCAGAATTGTTTCGTCTTCTCAAACAGAAACTCCGTCCCCCTTAAACGCTAACTAACGCCCATTCTTTGTCCTGCCAACCACCATTCTGCTTTCCGTCTCTACGGATTTGGTTCCCCCAAAGGACCTCATATAAGTGGAATCACACAATATATGTTCCTTTGTGACTGGCTTATTTCATTCAGTATAATGTCTTCCAGATTTACCCATGTTCTTCATCCCATTTCCTTCCTTTTGAAGACTGAAATCCTGTTTTTAAAAAGTAGTGTTGGGGCACCTAGGTGGTTCAGTCCGTGGAGCATCCGACTTCGGCTCAGGTCATGCTGTTGCACTTAACGAGTTCAAGCCCCGCGTCAGGCTCTGTGCTGACAGCTCAGGGCCTGGAGCCTGCTTTGGATTCTGTGTCTCCTGCTTTTTCTGCCCCTCCCCTGCTTGCGCTCTGTCTCTCTCTCTCAAAACTCAACAAACATTTAAAAAAATTTTGTGTAAGTAGTATTTAATTTCTGCACCTTGATCAACCAATTTAAACATTTTTTTTAATTTTTTTTTTCAACGTTTATTTATTTTTGG